CCATTTCAGTGATTAAAATGCATTTTTAAAGTGAAAAATGGTAAAGTGACCATTAAAATGCGTATTGATTCTTTCGTGAACCATTTTGACTATTTTATGATCACCAAGTCTATTTTTTCGAAATTTTGATTTGATTTAAACATGTGCATAGTTTCTAAAAATGACACGATTTAGTAGTCTTTGCTCACAAGGGTTCATATTCTACACAATTGTCAAGAATATAGTTCAAAATTCACGGAATAAGAGTCAATCGGATTTTGCGACCATGATGAAGAGAAATTTAGAAATAATCAAAAGCAATTGGTTTTTGCATGACTTTAATAATGAATCGACAATTCTCAAATCAAGGAGAATAGTACCCTTCACGACACGCACCATAGTTGAAAGTTTTGCCTTGAAAATCGAATGTCTGTAATTGAAAAAAGTATATCTTGTTTTACATGCATAATATTTCATTTTTGTCCATCAAATACGAAAACATAAGACAAAGCATTAAAAATGCTTCGTCTGTTACCGACTTTTACGTATACATGTAAACTTATCAAGTATTTGATTGGACATGTTTTTATGACTTTTACATCATTCTAATTTTTCCTTTAACATTTATATCGTATCGAAAGGGAGACCCAGTAATATACATGAAGAGCACTTGTACATGTATATGTTAACTACTGTATGAGCATCTATGTAAAGCAATCAAGTGACATATGTCTATGTACACTTGTAATTTTACAGAGTGAAATGTATTTCCAGATGTTATATTAACGTTTCTACTAACTGCAATTTTTTTTTATTAAGTTGTTCTCAAGTTTCATTCGACGATTTCTTCAAATGTTGGCTTAAGAATAGGGTATATTCTTTTGATGAACGAATAATCAAGATTTTTAGTCTTTTACACTTTTTCTACTAATGAGGTACAATATTCTTAACTTTTATTCAGAATGAATTTTTAACCTCGAGATAGTTGTATATTTATCATCGTCTTCGATTATCCATTTATTATTATATCTGTTTATACCCGAGCGATCACTGGAACATCATTTTTTCTTTTCTTTCTGTCTTAATGTTCTGTTTTCTCTATATCTAAATTATCTGATTAGTTTATTTCAATTGGTCGATGATAGTGTTTGTCTTCAAACAAAGAACACTGATCGAGAAGTAACAAGAGAACACATTCGATTCATTTAAAACGGAGATGATCTAGTAGTAACATATTACCCGTCTTTGTACTTAATACAACTCAGAACATGTTAAATATAAACGGAAAAATAGAATAAAAAAATCGACCTTCTGATTTTTGAGCAATTTAGACGTTTGAGAAATTTTCTTTCGAATGAATTATTTGTGTAATTTACTAGTGTGGTCTATCTCTTCTTTCATATCTCTATGAGTTAAATGAACACAACTTCAAGTTTCTTCAATTTATTCGGAATAGCATTGAGAATTAGATCTCATAATTAAATTTTATGTTGACGAGTAATATCTAATACATATCGAGACGTCAGCCATAGATTATAGCAGTTCGCTGAAAAACAAGAAATCTGTTCGATGTCCTGTTTTGAATAAAATAGTGTGATATGTTTCAAGTCTATTTTAATCAATATCTGTCTCTTAACGAGTAACTTACATTAGAGGTTGATATAAATGAAAAAGTGTACAAACAGTCCTATAGAGAGGTACATTTAATGAAACATAAATGTTGTACGAAGAAGAGAACAAGTCAAAAGCTGAGTTGAACATTTAGAATGCTTGTGATGGAGGTGTTCGTATTGTTAGATAATAAGGTTAAATATATTCGGACCAAATTACAGCTCTCATCATTAAACCAAGAAATATAAAATATAGACTTTTGCTGCCATGCGTAGACCGAGATATTGGAATTTTTTAGGATATTTACATCATATGAAACGTACTCACAAATCAAAATTTTAGTAGAAATTTTTTCTTTTTTCGTCATGGTTGGATAGAGCTCGTCGAGTTATACAAGAAAAACTATGTTTCAAATTCAAAACAATTTTTAAAAAAATCAAAATTCTGGGTCTATTTCCTCATATATCTGAAAATAATGTTATGTGGGACTTCTTCGTAAAATTTTTTTTTTAACTTGAAACATACTTTTTCTTATATAACTTGACGAGCTCTATCCAACTATGACGAAAAAAGAAAAAAGTTCTGCTAATATTTTGATTTGTCAGTACTTTACATATGGTTTAAATATCCTAAAATTCGAATATCGCGGTCTAGCCATGGCAACAGAAGCTTATATTTTAAATTTCTTAGTTTAATGATGAGAACTGTAATCTGGTCCGAATATATCTAACCTTATTAACTAACAATACAAACAAATCCATCACTAGTCAAAAAATAACCATCTTAATGCGTTACATGACGCACATTTTAATGCCTCACATGAAAAGCATTTTTTCGCATTTTTTGTGACCGTTTTACATCATTATAATAATTACTATTTATAGGCATTTTAATGCCATTCTACCATTTCTATCCCTGCCTGGGTTGGACCATCGTCAGTTTCCTTTCATTCATGACTTTTCTTGTGCAGAATTTCACGAGGAATAGTTTGATAATGAAATAAAGCTATTTTTGAAGGATCCAGACCAAGGGGGCAACAGCGTACTTTTGGATTTGAAGTTACTTGAAGTTACTTTAACGATACTTTAGACTACTTGAAAAATACTTTAAGACTACGTGAAGTTATTTCAGCTCCTTTGCTTTACTTTCCGCTACTTTAGTGATACTTTGAGCTACTTTAGGTACTTTGAACTACTTCGAGAAACTTCGACTTACTTAAAGTTTTGATGATATGAATCCATGGGCGAATGTTCAACGTTATTGCTTTATGGGTGGGTGTGGGGTGTGGGGGTGTGGGTGTGCGGGTGTGTGTGGGGGTGTGGGTGTTGATATGCTTCTTGCTAGCAACGACACCCACACCCACACACCCACACCCACACACCCACACCCACACCCCCACACCCACCCACACCCACACCCCACACCCACACCCAACCCACACCCACACCCATCCACACCTCACACCCTGTCCGGCCCGCCGGCCGTTTACACGATAACTTTCAAAAAAAAACAGATCGTGATGAAATTTTCCATACAGTTCCATCTCATTAATATCTTGATCGAGTTCAAAGGTGAGCCTGATTGGACGAGCCCTTTTTGAGTTAAAGCAAAAATACTGATTTTTCCCTATGGTCTCTTATGCGAAAATCGACCTATATCCGCTTTCATAAAAAACTTTTCCTATCATAGTCAAAATAAAACCCCAACTATTATGGAGTCTATGGGCTTTTTTATTTCAAACTGAATTCCAAAATCAAAAAAACCACACCAATTTCTTCCGAATCAAACTTTTCTCGCTTGATACTACGTAGTCTCACTAAAAACCCTTAGTCCCCCCTAGTCCTGCAAAGTCCCCCTTAGTCCCCCCCACAAAAAGCTTAGTCCCTGCTTAGTCCCTTTTCAGGGGACTAAAGCCTATAGTACACAAAACCACAAGCACACCCTCACACTCACTCGCGCGCCCACACCCGCACCATGGGTGTGGGTGTGTGTGTGGGTCCCAGACCAACATCCACACCCTCAGTCACCCCCTCCCTCACTCCTAGACTCACGTTTCAGTTTGAAATCAAGTATTATTTTTATTTGATAAATTCAGACTGAAATTAAATAGCCCATAGTATGCTATTATGTACCATTCGATAGTGAATTTCATGAGCTATAGAATAGTATATAAAAAATAAGGAAGCAAAAAGGCTAAGTCATCTTTTGCTAAGATACTTTGTCGGAAATGATTTCTGCACTTGGCCATGATCTCATCGATCGAAAATTGAAACTTCGCTTCAAGGCTTTTGATACTTGAACACAGGTTTTCCGATATGGAGAAGTTGAATTTGAGCTCCATTTGCCTCAAAATCCTATTAGTTGACCAATAACCAATAGAAATTGTTCTTACGAAAAACGATCTCCTGAGATAACTTTGATGATTAGACAGGTTATCATCACTCGCTTTTAGACAGTTTCGTCAAAATCAATCTCTCATCCCTTATTCTTACTTTTTGAAGTACACATAACAGTTGGATTTAAATCCGATGTTTCCACATTTATTTTTTTATTAAATTTAAAAGCTGTTACAAGTTTATGAGATCGATATTAGAGATTTCTATGCCTATTTTTCTACCTTCAAAAGATCATCTCAAATATAAATAAACTTCTGTACTTTTTATTAGTTAATTTCAAGAAATTAATACGATAAATTTTTCGTAATCATTGGCTGTTTATCTAATTGCTTTGTTTCAATGAAACAAAAGAAGAGAATACTGCGTGCTGAATGGATCATTTATTTCTCTTTCTCTTCTCCTCTTTGTTTAAAAGTGAAGCAATAAAAAATTTTTCATTATTCATGTTTAGGGGTGAGAAAGTTATTGTTATTTTTTTTTTGTTATTATAACAATAACATTCACTTTTTGATTCAAAAACATTAATGAAACAAGTATAAGTATAGTTTATGCGTACGTCAAAAAATCACTTTATTCATACAGTATCTTTATTACCATTTGATATAAGAACCAGCCGTAAATATTTTGAGAAATCGTAAAATAACTTTTTTTGTTATTGTTATTGTTATTGTTACTGTTATTGTTATTTTTGTATAACAATAACAAAAAAAGTTATTTTACGATTTCTCAAAATTTTTACGGCTGGTTCTTATATCAAATGGTAATAAAGATACTGTATGAATAAAGTGATTTTTTGACGTACCTACAAACTATGCTTACACTTGTTTCATTAATGTTTTTGAATCAAAAAATGAATGTTATTGTTATAATAACAAAAAAAAAATAACAATAACTTTCTCACCCCTATTCATGTTAGTCTGTTCCGTACGTCAGCAGATTATCTCAAACTTAATATTGATAATGGCAGTGATCATATTTCAACAAATAATTGTTTGTTTTTTTTGTATTTCAGAAATGCCACAATTAGGTGCGTGTGTCGATGCAAAATGTGATGATAAAATAAAGGAACTATATGAATGCCATTGTTGTTTACAACTGGTTTGCTTATCTCATTTGAATACACATCTCGAAATAAGAAAACAAACACAAGAGTTAGATGATATTCGTAATGAATTACATCTTGCTAAAAATAAACTAAAATCAATCGTGGAAGAACAAATGTTAGTTATTCAACATAATCAAGATTTGATTACACAAGCAGAACAATGTCTCGATGTATCAAATAGTTCCCTCGATGAGCTTCGAAATCTCGTCGAAAATATTCATCAAGCTATGCCGTTGAGTCAATCAGGTAAAAATTTATTAACATATTGTTTTTAGATTCTCAGAGATATTCGTTAATTTATTTAAGAGCAAATCATGAAAAAAATAGAACCATCATTATCAGAAACTCAATATTGCTCTTGTGTATTTAAGTGTAAAAAGGGAAATATGCATTCAAATAATAATATCGACTCTCGTACTAAAGTGTTCTTTTTAGTATATTTATTCTTGCCTAAAAATTGAGTTAATCGAACTGATTGATTAACTTTTCAATGAAATCTAATAGTCTGCACAATCTTAACTTTATGTGTTTCAAGCATGCATTTTTTCATTTATTTAATTCTTTGTTCCCAATCTCCACTCTTATGAACAAGGAAAACCAGACACTTTCTGTAATACAATTGTTGCTCTATCTATCAATACTAAATTGACATTCTCCGATTCTTTAGTATTTGAAGTATTGAGTCTATTAAATCAGTACTTTTAAAGAGAATAATCTTTTTCCAGTGTGCGAACTTTTTTTGGATATTCTGTGAAATACTAAGCAACAAAGGAACCTACTATAGAATTACATATCGTTCGGAAGTTTGATAATAATTCTATGAATTAGAAATATAAAAGTATCCTAGTCACCATAAAGTCGCAGTCAATAAAATGGGCGATAGTTTCGGACAAAGTTAATATTTGCTTTGTAAATCTCAATTCATGTAAAGTTAAAATGACACTTAATCGACTTTTTTTTTTCGAAAATTATAAAATAGAAAATGAAATAAAATCGTCTCTGATCTGACGCAATGTGCTAAAATTACACATATTCGACTGACATTCATTTTAATCGATTCATTCACATATACTTCCAATGGATTGTATAATATATTACAGGTGTTTCTTCAAACTATTCACTTATATCGTCAAAGAAAGAAATTCGACATTATCTGTGCTATTGAATGCAATGTCCTTACTCTCATGATCGCATCATCAATAAATCGCTGTACACTCTAGACAAGACACTGAATGGATTAGGCCGTTTTACTAACATAATAGAGGGACTAGCATTTTATTAATAATGTTATTTTATAAATGACACAGATAAAAAAGAGTTAATGTAAATTCGAAATTGGGTGTGCATCTGAGTATATTAATTAACTGCTCTTTATCCACACCCTTTGCCATTCAAGCAGTTTTTTAATAACGACTGTTTTTATTTTAGATCATCATTCTAGTTATTTCTTTACAGCCACATATTATCATTATGTGAAATCAGTCAAAAATAATAACCATTAGAAAGAAACAGAAATAAAACATTGAACTAGCGAGAGAATCTTCCTAAATGTACCCCTAAGATATCAATCATATTTCATCTGTAGATATTCGATAGTAATGTAATAAAAATCTCAAAAGGCTTTGAATTTCTGTTGAAATAGATCTGAGTTATTAGATCCTTAATATATGAATTTCGAAGAGATCTAAGGAAGATCCCAGAGTGTTGAAAAAAATTATCTTCGAATTTTGATTTCAAACTTTGGTCACTGAGATCTTATTGAGAATAGCTTTGAAAAATTTCAGAAGAAACTATTCAAATAGATGTCCTTCAAATGTACCATATTTATATAAAAGTCATACAGAAAGCACACCTTTTGAAGTCTTGATGTTTAGAAAAGAGTTTGTCCAGCTCATCTGAATTTTTTTGTGAAAACTACTCTTCAATAGGATCTCACTGTGAGCAAAGTTTTAGGTCTAAATTCGAAAAGAAAATGTTTTCACGTCCTAGGGTGCGCTTAGGTCTCTTTGAAATCATATATTAATGATTTAATAGCGTATGTTCTTTTGAGATTTTTATTACATTATTATTTAGTATCTATAGATAAAATATCATTGGAATCTGCAGTGATCATTCAGGAAGGTTTCCCAGTAGGTGTTTGAGTATTTGTTTTTCTCAAGTTTTGTAAATACTTATTTGAATACTATGAAATATATAAATTATTTTCCACATCGAATTCTGGTCATTTTTTATTATAAGACTTTCATGAATATTGCTACAAACTTAAAAAACAGCAATGCTGCACGTGCTAAAGTATTTATTTATACATTCAATCTTTCAGGCAAGATAAATCAATGAGTTTATTTTACATTTAATATACACCTATCTTATTTCGAAGATCGAATGTATTTTTTAAATATTCAGTATGCATTGCAATACTTTTTATGACCAGTTCAATTTTGATGGCTGTAGAACTACCTATTCATGAAATGAAAATTGAAATAAAAAATCAGTATTCATTATTGGAAAGAACTTTTATATTCTATAATATTCCAAAACTCGTTAATAAAAATTGTGGCAATTCGTAAATATTAGATACATTTTATCAAATTTTCAGTGCCTGAAGTTACTCGGTTTTGGGGCGCTCACCTTTGAAACGCCTTTAAGCATATTGTCTGTTACTCATTTTAACTGAGGAAAAAAAACTATGCCCAATGTTAAGCCGCATAGTTTTGAACATTTCTAGATTTTAGAGCGTGGATATGAAACATAAAATAGACGTTGTAATACGTAATTTCCACATTTTTTGATTGCCTGAGTAATGTTATTACATTCAAATTAATGCTTCAGTTCATGCATCGAATTTGAACCAATTTTTTTGCATTTATGCTAATTATATAATGTGGTCAACCTAAATTTTGTTTATTTTACTCATGAAAACAAATGTAGATTTTTGCTCATTCAAACAATTTTTACCATAGATTACTGTATTTTATATTTACTTTAGAAACAATGGTCTTATCTAGTGATGAAACCGTTTCAAAGAAACCAACCAGTTCTTATTATGGATTTGTAGCGCAATCGAACGAATCCGTTCGATTTCAAGCAAGTGACGAAAGAAACATGGGCCATGCGAATCAGGCTCGTCGAAAAATTTTAAATGCTGTTGTTCACTGTAAACATGGTTTAGATCCTGATTGTTGCTGTGCAAAAAGATTATCAGCAGACAAAACTCGTCAATTGACAGAACAGCAAACAAAAGTGGGAACAGCCTCGTTCGTGAGAAGTGAAATGGAAAGACTCAACGAACAAGATCGTTTTAAGTATTCTATTCTCAGCGAAATAATCAAATGCAAAGAAGATGAGAGAGATTTTTACATCAATCAATATGAAACAAAATATGGTGCATTACTGTCGAATGATATACTTGACATTGATGAATCTGTTGCTCATCTGAAGAGCTTAAAGATAAAAATGACACCAAACAGGTTTGAGTTTTGATTATCCTATTTTTTCGAGCTTAACGATATTTTATTTCCTATTCAATGATATTTCAATGAAAGGAAAAACAAAACGTAGTGATGCTTAGAAAATCATAAATTTTAGTAGCAGTATCTGTAGATACTTAATTTTCACCCAATTCTTTTTTAAGTATTCGATGATACGAAAAATCATTTTTATTAAATATTAAAAATTAAGCATTTTATTAAGTTGAAACTTTACAAGCTTTCTATATGACAATTATTATATTTATCTGTCAGTAAAATTTTAGTTCAAAACGCGTCATTTTAAGTTTTCTTTTTGTAATGCTTGATCACAGACAAAACTTCAATAAGACCCAGTGAAAAATTTTGGTGATTTTCAATTGGAGGATGTGGGTGCGAATGGTAATATTCCTTCTCTCTTGACTCACACTAACCCCCACACCCAAAACGAATCTCTTTAGCTTATTGAATTTGAAAATGAAAATAAAGACCAAACTTTCTAAAATACCTTATAACCGTTTGTAGGTCATAAAAAAGTTTCTTCTGAATAAGAACAGTAAAATAAAAGAATCGAAAAGATGCTGTTGAATTAAGTTATTATGAATTGAAACTTTGAAAATACGAAAAGTAAAGGCTAATCAAATTGTTGAATACTGGTCAAAATATCAATTTCGAACACTCTGCAAAACTATTTAGATGTCCATACTTTGTTTACTTGTTTAACTTGCAGAAAATATCTAGCATCTTGAACTAATTGAAATTTCAACTGAAATAACTATTTTGAAAAAGAAAATCAAAATTTCTCAGAACATCAAACATGACTTAGTCAAGTATTTAATGCCGTCCATCAATTAGATAACATAGATTTATTATGTTTTCTTAGATTTCCGATAATAATGTATTTTAACTATGAACATATAACGAAATATGAGTTATAATCAAGACTACAGTTTTCCAGAATATATATCCAGGGAAATTATAGTACTAGATTGACAGTCGTTCCACATATTACTATTAAATGTAGAAGCTTCTTGGTATTCTTTTTGCATATTTGCCATAAATACTTGGTGTCTATAATTGATATCAGGCCTAACAGTTTCAACCCTTTTCATACTGTATCTAGCAAACAAAGTTCGAAATTGTACATAGCTTACTTTTATTGTATATATTTTAGCACAACCTCTTCTGTATGTACAGCCAAAGTGCTTGATATATGTCAATTGGGCGAACCAATCCAAACAATCGAGAGAATAAGAAATAGTGGTAATGTTCTAGTTGCCAACGAACAATATCTGTTAATTCATAATGCTTCGAATCTTTGTTTTCTCGATTCAAAATTGAAAGTGGTTCGACAGACTGAATGGACTCATGGACCGATTCATGATATATGCTGGAACACAAAACTCAATAAAATTTATATGACTATTAGGGCCAGTGCATTTGTTATGGATTCACAAACTATGAAATGTGAAAAGCTATTTGAAGAAAATTTCTACAAAACATGCACTTGTTCAGATGATATACTCTATCTTAGTACCTATCATCTAACTCAACAAGTGTTAGCCCATTCATGTTCGAATCTTCTATCGGTTAAGTCTGTTTTTACGTGTCATGAAAAGCAATGTATTGAAGGTATGTCTTATCATGATGGTAAACTTGCTTTAACTATTAATGGTCGTGGTGGAACAAAGCCTAATGTAGAAATTCTATCAACTACAACATATGCTTGTTTATTTTCGATAACTATTACAGACGCACTTGGACATGGTCAATGTCGTATCTCGTCACTTGGCTCAAACGGTTGGCTTGTG